TCTAATTTTGTCTGCTATTATTTTTTGAACACTATCAAGCAATTGTTCTTTGCTTACTGGAAAGTGTTTTCCAGCCATAAAAAGGATCCATCGTACGAGCAGCCTTTCTTCTTCATGTGTTAGTACAGTAGTTGGACCTGGGTTACGATCAACAGGACTTTTTCCTGTAATTTTATTACGTAAAGTTATTCTTGGTACTCCGTGTTTTGTAGCCGCAGTGGATATTTTCTGTCCTTTTCTCACTTCTTCAATTGCATTTGCCATTTGTTCTTTAGTATAAGCTTTTCTAGTCGCCATATCTACAGTGAAACAAAATTTATTTATATAAAAAAAAAATTGAACCAATTTCGGACACCCAATTATGGACAGAATGTTCATAATTGGACAGACTCTTAATTTGCGACTGATTAAAAAAAAAGATAAAGGTAAACGAATGTACAACTATAAGATGTAAGAAAAACGTATAATTGTAAAATACCCTTCATGGACAAAATGTCCATATTTGGGTACAGGCTTACAAAAATATCCAATTATGAACATCGATAAATTCCGAGGCTAAAATTTCTATGAGGTTTTAGGTTAGAATATATAATTAACCTTTTATTATCAGTAATTCAATAAATAATATGATTTTTAACAACAGTGTTACATTTGTCATAAAAAAAGCTAATAAATGTACTTACTTGCATTGCGATCCTTCTAAGGAATTCCAAATCTCGACACCAAAACACACTGCACGAGTAAGAACTTGTTATGGTCGAAAACAAAATGGCTGAGAGCTGTCAAATGTGGTTTACATCACATCTAGAATGTTGGTACAACCGATTAGTGTTGCCGTTCGAAAAAAAAACTTACCGGTTTCTTAGTTTTAGAGGCATTTTTGAAAACTGTCCATAATGGGTCCGCGTCCATAATAGGTGCATTTACCTTACACGTGTTTATGCTATGACGTAATAGTTATTAAGTCACCGAGAAGCGTAAAATATTTACAGCATAAGGTAACGAAAGTATTACATCCTGAATTTAATTTTTTAAGATGCTAATTCAACATACTAATTCTGATTTCTAATCATTTAGGTATTTCTTTTCTTTTTGGTACTTATTATTCTAAAATATTATACAATCTTGCGATTTTGCGAGATTGACTTTTGAGTTCTGTACTATATTCCTCATATTCTTTGTATTGAATAATACGAGACGCCATCCTCTAGCATGTTCCTTCACCGACGAACACTGAATAGCGAGCGCAAACGAGCACGAAAAGCTTCGTGCAAGGCACGCTCCTGTGTTAGTTGGTGACAAAAACAGTCTACTGGGTCGCGCCTTTTAAAATTCAATGAAGAGAATGTTTTTACTTTGTACGTTCCTATTATGTTCATGGTATTATGAGATATAGGGGGCAAATACCTTTAAAGTAATATTATATTGGCAACTTAGTATAATTGAAATATTATTTGAAGTCATTAAATCTTTTGCTTTTGGTGTACGAGCAGATGTTTACCTTAGTGATTTTATTGTTTAGTTACATCTATATATATAAAAATGAATCGCAAAATGTGTTGGTAAGCGCATAACTCAACAACGTCTCGACCAATTTGGCCAAATCTTTTTTTAAAATGTTCGTTGAAGTTCAAGGATGGTTTTTACGGCGAGAAAAATTAGAATTATTGCTGGAAAAACCCTAAAAATAGCCCTTTTCTTTTTCCCATACAAATGATTTGTAACTAAAACGTAGTCAATTTGAGCTTTATTGCTATGGTATAAAGTTCATATTAAATTACAAGCACTCACTGTTGTCTAAGCAATGTAGGTGTGTTCCTAACGTCAAAGATCATATCTATCAAAACAATGTGCGTGTGTGCGTTGGAGCACAGAATACATAGTTGGAGGAGTTTAATGTCGCGTTCCGAAACTCGCGTTTCTTTTGTATTAGTTTCGGCACGCGAGATAAAATGCATCAGTTTCCACGTCATTACATGTATTGCCGGAACATTGATGAAAATACGCTCTGTAGTAGCAAAGCTGTTGGGTCCTAGATAGCTCATTGGTTAGAGCAGTCCCTGGATCGCGAATGGGTTCGAGTCCCATTCCGGGGTACAGGTAGATGGATTCTTCCAGCATTTTTCCTTGAGAATGTTTATATATTTTTTTAATTCGAATAATTTACTTTTATAATGCTGTTGTGTGTAATGTGTTTTTATGATCATAAAAATCTCTTTTTTCTATATTTAATACTATTACTATTAATACATTGCAATAATAATTATGATTCACATGATTAACAATAAAGCGATTACTTACTTTTAAATCCTTATATATGTTTTATTTAATTATTTTTTATTCACAACGCCCTATCACCAGGGTGACGGTTCTGTTCAGGAGAATTTTTTTAAATACGTAGGCAAAAAAACTGCCACATTACAAATCTTTTTGACAGGACGAAGTCTGTCGGGTCAGCTAGTTTCAAATAAATATGGATTTTGATTACATGATTATTATCCAATTACTAAAATCAGTTAACATTTAAATTAACAATTGATAGATTTTTTTATTTTGATAGATTTGGTGAAATATAAATAAAAGTCTAAAAACAATTTAAATTATAATCTATTGTTTATTTTGCAACATACATAATAGGGTAAACCAGAGAGTAATTGCCCACAGGCAGTGATTGCCCGTTTTTAGAAAAAAAATCTGAATCAAAGGTTGTGCTCTCACTTGTTTCGAATATAATTTACTAGATTATTCTATGGTCAATTTATAGTAGATTTTAAAATTGACAAGTAGCAACACTGAAGAAAAAAAAAGGTATGGGGGATTTTGTCAAGACGGGTGAATGTGTTACTCAAACAGGTAAGCATTTTAGCAATTTTCTTAAGGAATTACTTGCTTTGAGGTTAATTTTTTTTGCATTTTATTTGATATTTAATTATTGGTGTATGGTTATGACGAAATCATAAGTGTTATGTTATGTTTTTAATGAAAATATTTGAAATCGGATTATATTCAACGGTTTTTTAACGGTGGGCAATCGCTGTACGTATTTCGGCATATTTTTAGTTATTGCCCACCATAATTTTAGTGATTGCCATGGTTAATATCTATAGTTATTGCCCAGGGCAATCATCATCGGTAATTTTTTGATTAAGTAAGTAATGTTACCGTCACATTTATTAGCTTAATAGCTTGCACACGCGCAATAATATTGTCAATATTTTTTTGACTATGTAATATTGTCAATATTTTTGCCACACACACGCAATTATATTGACAAAAAGCAGCATTACATATGAAGCAAAAAGAAAAAGAAAATCTGTTGAAAGTAAAAGAAGAGAAAAGGTTGATCAAAGAAAAGAAAAAGACTGAAATGGCAAACAAAAAGTAAAAAAAAAGTTAGTGAGACTGTTAAATCTAAGGAAATAGATAAGAGTTTAGAGGATAATAGCCAACAACTGATTGAACCTTTTGAGCAACAACTCAAACCAACACCAAAGAAGATAGAAAAAGAAATAGGCATAAAAAGTAAAGAAATGTCAGCAAATAAAAAGATACCTATTCTAAGTAATCTTTTAATACAACCTTCTTGTAGTAACATTCTGCCAAAGCCTACTTGTGGAGTTTGTCATTTCAACGTGATAAAAAATGAATTGACATGCAGTGCCTGTTCAAAAATCTTTCATGTGCGTTGCATCCCACCAAAACACAAAGAACATATACCAGACTACTCCGATTTACATTTATTTTTGTGTCATTGTTGTTTTGAAGTAGATGATTCTAATTGTGACGATTCTGACTCATCAACATCAGCGAAAGAAATGTTTGATATGGTTAATAAAGCCAAACGCAATTTATTTTATGATGTTGTAGTAGATTTAAGTTTAACGTTTTGTTTTGATTGTTTTATTAAAGTTCAAAGTCTAATTTATCATTTTAAGGTACTGGGCAATTACTATGCTGTGATGTGGGCAATTAGTGTAAGCCATGGGCAATAACTGTACATTTTTAGATAATTTTAAATTTGTTTAATTATTTTCTAAGCCATGTAAGTTTTGACTAAAAACCGTTAACACTTTGATGGAGATTTTATTTAGATATAAGAAAAAAATAATAAATGGTTGAAAGTTATAATACTTTTTTTATTGTTTGAAGCCAAAGTGTTTGAAGTCCTTAAGTGGGCAATAGCTATACGGTTTACCCTACATTGATGTTATTTCATCGATGTTAACTTTTGTAACGTCGAACTTTTTATTTGGTCTGAGACGTCGACATCCTTAAATATATACATTTTCGCCACATTCGCTCTGACAAATTGCATTGCCTTTAAGTATTTTAAATCTACTGCATTTTTTTTTTCACTTTTTAATAATTCTTTTCCAGGCAAAAATTAAAAAATGTTAAATAGTATTTACATAGTTTAATTTAAAAGAATAATGTTCATTGTTAATAATATTTGACCCCCTTTTGAATCATTTTTGAATTACACGCATATTCCCATTGTCAAATTTAATGTCATCTTCTTCTTGACATATATTTTGCGTCTTCGATTGCGCCTTTGTACATTTGTCTACTTTTAGATTTGCTAGCCGTATAGATCAGGTAACTAAAAATAAAAAGAATCTCTAGGACAGAGAAATTATTCTCATTTTTTTTATAGTCGACAATCACACATCTTTGATTCATTTTCATTTTACATGTAAAAATTAATTTATTTACTTGACATTGGGGCAGAATTGTTCGAAATGCACTGATAAGTCATTAATTAAAAAAAAAGAAGTTCTATGGTACAAACCCATGGTTTGGTCGTATGTTCCTTCGCCTGTCCCATGGACGAAAACGAATAACAACAACAGCTCTATGGTACAAGCTGTATCCATGGTAACCGTTTTTGACAACACTTGCAAAAGTGAAAATTTGAATGAGTTTTAAGAAGTTATTAGATTATCTAAAATGCTTGATTTAATTGAAATAATATGAGTTAAGTCTTGATATAAGTTTTCATTATGTCTCTTATTCGTAAATTCATTCTATCAACTACTGGTATGTTTTACAGATTTATTTCATATCTTTTTTCCGTTTGAATCGATTTTGTACATAAGTTTATCTAAATTTTTCAGAGTATTTCTTCAATAGAAGTGACTTGAGTTTCAATAAGAAAGCTGAAGAAGCGTTGTCAGATTTTATTCATCATTCACAAACGTTATTGTTACAAAGCTACATTTGCGATGATATCTTGATGATTCACACAAAGGTAAAGTTAACTTATAACAATTTTAACCATTCGTTTTTTTTATAAAATGTATCGATTTTGCAGATCCAATTTGACCAGAAGAAATCCATCATATTTTATAAATCTAAAGCTTTAGAGCTTGATTCTGATAAATGTGTGGAATACATCAATCTCATAACTGTTACCAATAATGCTGCTGAATCATTATATCAAGTTGTAAAGCAAATATATTCACCTCTTTTGGCAAATGTGAGTTTGTGTTATTTAACTATAATTATCGAAGTAGATATTTATAGCTTTTTCACATTCAACTTGTTTTCAGGATTATGACTTATACTCCAATAAGTTACAAAAGAATCTCTCAGATTTGGAATCCAACTTGAGAATCATCACCCATGGTAAAGCAAAAGAAAATACAAATGGTAAGACAATTATTTGTAATTATGTTTTTATTAATGAATTCAACATTAAAGTGGAAACATGGTTTTATATTTTAGTGATACTAACTATTGAAGATGAAGTGGAGTATTGGAAAAGTATTGCAGATAAAAATGACGCTACAAAAAAAGATAGAGAAATTGCATCAGCATATCATGATTTATTTGAAGATATATGTGAGGAGTTAAGGTGTATATTTATTTCGCTTTTATTTGTCTCATCACTGAATAAGATTATTCAGATATATCATATTTTTTATGATTATTTTAGATTAATGCAAGCAAGTACAGTATCTGAAATGAGGGAACCAACTGAAAACATTGGTGGTATTTTAGACGATATTTGGAGATTTACCACAGTAACATATTCAGAAGACAGAATGATACATATTATCAACATCATTGGTAATTTTTTAAATCATATGCTTAGTAGTAGTTAGTAGGTATATATTTTTTATATATTTATATCTTCTACATATTAAAAAGTAAATGCAAATGTTTTATTTTAGGTCATACAATTTGTTCAATTATTCAGAAATTAATTTCCACTTGTGATTTGTGGGAAGTACAGGAGAATTCAAAAGAAAATACCATATTGTTGCTATTATTAGATAGTTTAGGTGTTATACAAAGTTGGATAAACACATGCAAATCTTTAACTGAAACCTACTGGCCAAATTATGCACTTCATACTTGGGGAGGTAAACCCTACATACCACAGTTCTGTTTAAATTTTGAAAAAAGATTAAAGGAGGTGAGAATTTATTGCATTTGTTAAAAAAAAATATGTATTTTTTTATTTAACTTGATTGCTGTACAAAATGTGCCTAATCCCGGATTCTTTCAGAGAATATGTAATAATCGTAATCACTGTCATTTAATATTTACAGGTATATGAAATTAGATCAACATATTGCCAACTAAATAAATTATTGACTTTCAATGAAAATGAAGAATTAAAAATCAATAAATTATTTGAACCTTTTGAAAGTAAGATTTTATAACATATCTTCATTTTATATATTGTCTATGAACTGGTCCTATCTAGTATTGTACACATGGCTGCACTATACACTGCAGACTTAGTCCCGACTGCGCTTCATGTAGAACTTCCCTACTTATAGAAGTCTGCTTACAATGGTGGTATGTAGCATGAAAATAAATATTTCATTAAAAAAATATAGTAGGTGGATCTACTATAATTTTTGTATATATTGGTTTGTATATCTGTCGCAGCAAAGTGGTATAATGAGCCGATCAATTGGGCGGCTAACCTTTTAATTGAATGGCGCCATTCAATGAACAGGATGTATATATTGTAGTGGGTGATTTTATATAAAACTCAAAACTCCTTGTTACAATCTATAATTCATACAGATACAAGACTGATCGAAAATTTAATAACAATTTGCTTATTCGCGACTGGGTGTTAATGTTTAGTATGATCCAATAGAGGAAATTAACGTACAAACCCATAACGCAAGTGGGTTTTGCTTGACTTCCATAATAAATTCTTAATGCAATTACACAAAGACAAGATATACTGCGATTCAGACGGCCACACCGCCATCTATCGAAAGCAGTATAGGACTATGTTTATTTTAGTATGTTTATTACGATTACGTAGTTTGGTGCTACAATAGTTAATAATAACATAAAATTATAATTTTTTAACAGATAACAAACTAAATGAACGTTTTAGCGGCTTTTAAATCAGCCGTCTCGTTGAACCGTCCCAATGTCAAAATGATTCAACTTAAAAACTAAGCTTGCAATTGATTGCCTTACAATGAAATGGCTAGCCGCCCAATTGAACGGCTGTTTTAACCAGTTGGCTGCGACATATCCATTATATTATCATTCACAGGTATTGACATTTGGATATACAACGGTCCAAATCAAAACTGGGATGCTGCTGTATCACGATTCTCAACAAATTTGCGTCCTACCGAAACAAAAATTGCAGAAAAACTGAAACCTCGTTTACATAATACTTCAACAAAGCAGGTAATCATATCTGCTTCTGCATATAATAGGGGTTAAAGTATGAAATTGCCGATTTGCACCGAAAATACTTTTTTAATTTTCAACAAATTAATGTAATTAAAATAGTTACCATTATTATATATACAGTGCTACCATCTAATAGGACGGTCATTTATGCCTTTGCGATAGAACTCTGAGGATCTAGACCGCACAAATCGTGTGAAAGTATTTTGTACTGCCTCCTGAGAAGAAAACTTCTTGTCACGTAGATAATTGTCCAAATCACGAAAAAAATGATAGTCTGTTAGGGCAAGGTCTGGCGAATACGGAGGATGGCGAATGGTTTCTAACTGCAGTTTCTTAAGGGTCAAAACGGTTTCTCGTGCTGTATGTGATCTCGCGTTGGCATGGAGCAATAATAGTGATCATCAATTCATGAGTGGGGGCTGTTTTACTGCTAGTTTTGCCAACATTGTTCGGAGTTCGGTACAATAGACATTTGCCGTTATTGTTTGACCAAATTGGAGAAAACTATAGTCAACAGCATGCTAAGACCACTAAACAGTTACCGTGACCTTTTTATTGGTAAGTTTTATCTTTAGGACACTGTTGTGGTGTCTGACCTGGGCTCAGACATTGCATTTTTCTTTTACGGTTATCATAAAGAATCCACTTTTCATCACATGTCACAATTAGATCCAATATTCCTTAATTTCTGTACTGATTCAACAAGGCAACACAAGCTTCAACACGCGTTTCTTTCTGCAAATCAGTCAAATCATGAGGCACCCATTTTTGGTATTTTTTATTTTATTGATTTAACGCAAATGAGTCCATATTATGGGTAAGGTAACGTTAGACCATGCCGCTAATTCCTGGGTAGTTTGTCTAGGATCGGCTTAGGCCATCTCTCTTAATTCATCGTTATTCACCTGTGTGGTCGGTCTTCCTTGTGGCTCGTTCTTCAAGTCGAAGTTTCCATCACGAAAACGTTTGAACCAAAATCGCACGGTGCGTTCATTAGCAGACTCCTCTCCAAACGCAACATTGATATTGCAGGATGTTTATGCCGCGTTACTTCCGCGTCGGAACTCGTATTAAGAAATTGCTCGAATTTTCGCAGTATCCATCTTTCTTGTTTAAGTTTAATAACAAAAACAATTGAAAGTCGATATTCAAATGTTTCACATTTTTTAAAAGAAGAATATCATATAAACCGTTTGAATAGTTTCTTTCGAAAACCTTGAATTGATATAGAATCTTCAAGGAACTTATTACAATAAAACTGCAATTTCATACTTTAATACCTAATATTCCAACTCGTTTAAAAACCTGATTACCTACTGATTTAAGAGTAATAAATCATCATCATCATAACAGCCCGTAACATTCCACTGCAGGACGAGTAATCAATTATATTTCTTATTCCATGTTTTTTTTTAATAAAATCAATTTGAAATATGTAATCAATATTTTAATCTGTTATACAGATGACACCTAAACACCCCATTTTATAAGAATAGGAATATATATAATATACATGTGACGTTAATGTCTAAGAGTAAAAACTGTCACCAATCCAAACATACATATGACATTGAAAGCTTGTATGTAATAATGAAATTACTATTAAAATACAAACTTCCAGATGTACACCAGACGTTTCTGCAATGAACTTTGACCTCTGAGGGGGGGGAAAGTTGAGAGTTTCGTTTAGTCTGACGTGCTGTTGACTGTAATGTTGATATTTTTATATTTGTTGTTATATTTACAGATGCTGTATGAATTTATGAGATACAAAGCGTTGATAAATAGGCCCATGGTAAAGCGCGAATTAAATAATGAACTTGAGGTGTTTATTTCATCCTTAATATCTATGTTGAAAAACATTAAGAATCAGTTAGATTCTGATGAAATAGACGTGCAGATGTATCAACCCCCCGAAATGTCTCTTGTGGTGCAGCAAGTTCAGTGGGCAAAACAAATGGAAGCAAAGGTGAATTGCATATGCTTGATATTGATAGGCGATATTTTCCAGTTACGTGTTGCTGAGAGTTGATTTTTTTTTAGATTAAAGATATACGTATGTGTGCAGAAAAATATCTGTTTGATTTCGATGGTAGCGTCGAGTTACTAAAAAGTGCAGATCAACTGCTTAAAGAATTGAAGTCCCTGTATACACAACTGCACGAAGATTGGTCCCGCGAGTTGTTGGTTAGTAGAATATGAAATAGTAATTCACTTATTAGGTAACCTTCGTCATCAGTACCTACGATAATTCCTCTGGAGCATGTGCTTACGCAATAATTAGTTCCAACAATTTATTCTTATACTTATGCAGACGATAAAACACAGACAATGATCCAAAGTATTAAATGAGCGTTAAAAGTAAACGATCCGTATCGCTATCCATAGAAATGCATTATTTGTACTACGAAGGTACCACAATACTTTATTTTTTAACCCGTTCGGAAACCGAATCTGGGTCTTCAAGAGGTGGAGTCACCTTAAAACCGGCGTGCGAGCTACTCGACCGTCGTCGACATAGATAGATAGATAATATATTTATTTGCATTATTAAAATAGCACACATGCATTATAAAATTCTAATACAATAAAAAAATACAATAAAAAAAATTCGCTTTAACGTGTGCGCCACAACAATGCAAAAGGGTAAAAGCTCAACGGTCCTTTTGCTCAAGGAGCAAAGCGCTGATTTTCAGCCTTTACCCAGAGTGCTAGCACGATCTCAAACTATAGCTTCACTTTGATATGATAGTCCGATTAAAAATTGCATTCAATCACAAGTATTATAATGGAATATAATATAATTCATTTAATTAATCAACTAATTTCAAAATTTAAATTGTGAGAATACATCAGAACTTAAGATATTTTCACTCTACTATAATTATCGGCACCTTAAAATGGCGCTTTACCTTTTATTAGAACTGTATGGTCGTTATACCTACATATTATTACTTTTAAATTGAAATTAATATAATAATTACAAAAGATGACTGGTGAAATACTAATGTGTTGAAAGGCGCAAGTGAATAGCGGTTCACTGCAACTGCGATTAGAGAGACCAGTGGTGGAGTTCAGTGGGTCGCGGAAGATGCTTGAGGTGCAGTACGAGGCCCGCGCTGTGCGCTGCGAGCGGGAGGCGCGGGCGCTTCAAGCGCTCGGCCTGCCGCCGCCGCCTGCCGTCGCTACAGCGCTGCAAGCGCTAACCGATGCTCTCGGACACGCGCAGCGCTTGCAACAGGTGATTTTTTTGCAGGAACAGCTAAGCTTGAGTGACTCTTTTCAAAATCTGTTTTTTGTTTGATAACGTTATATTATATATATTATAGCATTCCGCTAACGATTTATATAATTATGTTATACATACATATATAAACTTCCTCTTAAATCGCTCTGAATATTGATCAAAATCGCTTTAAAATCCGTC